CCCGTGGCCTTGGTGTTATCAGCACCGCACTCTCCCGAGTGAGCCACAGGCCGGCCCATTGAGGTGTTCTTTTATGCAGCAAAAGCTAACTGATACAGACAGGGACAAGCCAGGCACATCTCTGTGCACCCAGCATTGCCCAGAACTGGGCCCAGCTGTGTCTAGAGTTTCATGGGGCAGCCCGTGACCTCTACCCCTCCCCCTCCCAGCTTCCAACAGACCCTGCTCCAACCCCCTTGCAAGCTGAGTATTGTCCCTACTACCAGTGGAGCAAGGGGAAAGAGGACAAACTCAGCTCTAGAAGGCAGACGCTCTTGTCATTTTACAGACAACAAAAATGCATTAGAGATAGCAGAAGCCTTTTCTAAGACTGCACAACAGAGAAAAAGACTTACCCGGTGCTGCCTCAAAGCAGGAACTTTTGTCAAGCCCGCTCAGATGCCCCATAAATGTAAAATCCGCTCTGTCCTTACCAAGTAATGGGTGTAGTCACACCCCTGACCCCAATTACTGAAGACTTTCATGTTCTATTTGTATTCATTTAATCATCAGTGTGTAAGAGTTTTACAGTGTCAAGTGTAATACGCGGTTATTACTGGGAGGGAGGAACTGTTAACAATTTAATGACGGATTTTTCTCCGCCACTGGGAGCTAAGCACAAAAGATGCTCTTGTGGCCTGCCCAGTTGTTCAATCACTTAGCAATTCAACAACCATCACCGAATGCCTGCTATAGGCCAGACACCATGCAAGACAGATGTGGTCCCTGCGCTCAAGGACTCACAGTCTGACAGAGGAGACAGATGTTAAACAGATAACCATACAAATTAAACAATTATATTTGTGGTAAGGTCTTTGTGGCAAAGACAGGGATCACCACGTATTTCAGGAGCTCCCCTACCTTTTCTGTCACATGACTAGTTCTGACCAATTGTGCATAGACATGACCAATATGTGCGTAGACGTGACGGGTGGCGGTCACTCTGGGCTGAGAGCTAGTAGGCCTCCGTCCCTCTCTTCGATGAGTTCCCTTAGCTACAAAATGGAGGAGTACCACCAGATCCACAATGGACTTCACTGAGCAAGAAATAAAGCTTCCTGTGTTGTCTTTGAGATTTGGAATTTGTCTGCTGGGCAGTTAGTGTTAATTACCTTGACTAAGGAAAATTTGCCACAAGAGAAGGGAGGAAAAATACTCTCCCCCCATAACTAAGCTGCGTCAGTCTCCTGCATTACAAATCTCCCCAAAAAGTTTATGATTCCCTGGGTCAGCAATTTGAGCTGGGCTCACTTGAGCTCCTGCAGGCAGCAAAGCAGCCTTGGCTGGGATGGCATCTCTCTGCTCCACGAGGTCTCCTCCTCCAACAGGCTTAGCCCCTGCTCCCTCAGGTGGTGGTCTCAGGGTTTCACAAAGCAACAGGAGAGAACAAGTTCCAATGTGCCAGCTGTGCTTGTGTCACATTAGCAAATGTCCCACTGGCCAAAGCATGTCACAGAGACCAATTCAGGAGGCAGAAAAATAGACTTTCTCTTGATGGGAGAAGCCAAAAATAATTTATGGCCTTTTTTTTTTTCTTCAATATATAACATGATCAATATATCACTGTGTACCTAAAACTGGTCCTGCACATAGTATGCCCCTAGGCAAATTTCTTGGTGATTCTAGGCCTCCGACTGTTTCCCTCCTCTCTGTGTCCATTACTTAAGGCTGGGCCTGAAGCCTCTTCTGGCCCTTCGCAGAAGTGAGCCTACCCTGCCCTGTGCCACCAAAGCCCTCAGAACAGGGTCTCTGAGATGGGACTGGTGAGTCAGAACACATAGGATTCTGCATTTTCACAAACTCCCTGGGCATCCAAGTTGGAGAACCTCTGTATTTGGAGAAACTCTGATTCCTTGGGGACTCAAAGCTCATTTCAGCTCCACTCTGGACAGGTTTGACCTCAGCCCAGATATAAAATGGGTATAAATTCTACCTGCCTGTATCAGTCTGTTCTCCATCACTTATAACAGAATACCTGAAACTTGGTAATTTATAATGAAAAGAGGTTTATTTCTTACAGTTTTGGAGGCTAGGAAGTCCACAGTCCAGGGCATGCATCTAGTGAGGGCCTTCTTGGTGGTGACTCTTTACAGCAAAGCAGGGTGTCACATGGCAAGAGAAATGCAAGAGTTCTCTCATGTGGTCCTTATAAAGCCACCAGTCCACCCATTACAACTCATGACTCCATGAATGGATTAATCCATTCATAAGGGCACAGTCCTCATGATCTAATCACCTCTCAATGGTCCCACCCTTTTAACACTGTTACAGTGGGGGCCAAGTTTCCAATATATGAACCTTTGGGGGACACATTTGACCCATAGTGATCACTCCCTGTGATGCAGGAAGGGCTTATAGGTGCAGGAGGGCTTTATCAGATGTCAAAATCTGAGCCACCACTACAGTTGTACCAGCTTCATGGAGAAAGACATTCAGCCCTCGTCCCATCATTCTCTCTCCCCTGACCTGACTTCATGGCTCTACATAGCACTTAGCACCACCAGGCAGTACATTAGATATCTATTTGTTTGTATGAGTTCCATAAACCCAGGGACTGGG